TGCACGTCTCATGTATTGCGCTCTTCACAACTCGGCTGCATGGTTGTGTTGTGTGTGTGTGATTGTCTCTTTTTTGCTCTCTTTTAACAAAGTCCCACTCGGACAAACACAATCTGGGCTCACTTGCGTTAGCAACAGCAGCCCCAGGAGGAAGAGCATGGTGCTTATGCTGATGGTGATCATCACATTCACTCGTTGGCGAATGGCCTCGAGCTTCGAGTGCCAACGGCACAAATGCTCCACGATGTTCTCGACAGTCGAGAGAAAGAGCAGAACCTTTGGGAGACGATTGGGCCGGTTGAGTAGCGAGGCGGAAATCAGAAAAAAGGCATGAAAAAGATGAGAGGTATTAAAGCTGAGGCCAGGCAGCTTGAGGCAGAAGGCAAGTGTATCGAATTGCTAAGAAAAGTTGATTGGATCGACTAGACGATTGGGCGTGTGAAATTAACAAAAAAATGGGAAGCGACAGTAGAATGAAAATGGGATTTGTTTACACAATCTATTTCGTGTAAGGTGATGAAGGTGACTGGCAGATGATTTTTCCCACAATCATGTCAATTGCACATAGCTTTGCTGTCACAAAAGGTGTTCTCCTCCAGGCTGAAGTGGATTGCACTTTCGACCTCGAATAGGTCTTAGCAACATCCCCGGCGGGACTCGAACCGTGACCGTGCAGCCACATTGTCACCGGTGCCTTTGGGCAATGGGTAGACGCGAATTTCAAGGAATTTCACATGTCACATTGTGTGATATGTGAAATTCAATGGAAACGTCAGCTACACTCATAGCGTTATGGGGGAAAATAGACGGCCATTCCGTCGTCACCTTAAAGGAAATAGCGTGTATACAGCTCGAATATCTGGTTTGCTGGAAGTCTCGAAACTCTACTCACCTCCGAGCAAAATGGAAAAATGAAAAAGCGACAAAACAGGACAAACAATACAACCCAGCAAGTCATTCAGCCTAAGAGGAAATATCAAGTAAATATGGGCTTTCTGGAACTGGGGCGGAAGACTTACAAATTACGCTTTTCAGGGACCAATTGTCACCGTTTCCCCGATCATTCATGACGCAACGAACCAGAGAGGGTCGGCTGATCGGAACATCGAGCAGGAATCGGCGGGCGACACGGTTGGATGGAAGGGCCATAATGATGTCCACCTTTATTTGAGCCCAATCCCCCATCCCAGATACGCCTTGACGACGAGGGGGCAATAAAAGAGGTCGCGAGTAAATTTGCACACGTTTCGCCGGCCTCAGATGTGATAGCTTTGCTAGGGCCTAGTCTTCGGACGTTGCTTTTGCTAATTGTTGAGCTGACTTTCATTTCGAGTGAAAGTGTTGCGTGAAGAGATTCCAAAGTCAGTTCCACCAGAAGACCACGGAGGATTTGTCTTGACCAGCTGTCGATTGGCTTTACTGGAACATTCGTGCTGACAATACATTATCAAAACACAAAATCTAAGTGTTTATGCGTTTAAGTGTATATACGTTTGTATGTATGTATGTATGTATGTATTTAGGCATGTGTGTGTGTGTGTGTGTGTGTATGTGTATCACCGTTCGTAGTGCTGAGAAGACAGAACATAGCGTTAGCTTGAATTTTGTTGTGACGATGATACCTTTCTCTGATGATGTTCATCATACGACGGAATCGAAGCAATTAACCTCGGAAACAGTGTCAACAAGAATGCTCCAATAAAGCCAAACGACTGCTGGTCACGAGGAATCTGCCGTCGTCTTCTGGTGGAACCGGCCTTCGAATCTCTTCAGCCAACACTTTTACTCAAAATGGAAGTTAGCTCAACAATTATGAAAGAAGAGATGCCTCGAAACCTAATTTTTTTCGCATATGCTACTTTTGCTGTCCTAATTACTTTGAGCCATGACTGCTGGTTTCGTGTATAAGCGAACACAAATAGGCACGTGCATACACAGAGACAGACAGAGACATATGACCTTAACTAACCAAATCACTTTATAGAAGTTGTTTGACCTTGTTTTCGCAACTCGGTCATATTGGTAGGAAGACTTAAAGAAACGCAC